GGCTCCATCCAACGAAGCTCCTCACATGCTCCTAGGATATCGGCCAGCACGCTGGCCGACGTACCTGCTCGTTCTTTCACAAGCTGTTACTCCACTTTTCCACTTTTTGGTTCATGGTTCTTCACGTTTTCCACCCCATAAACATTCGTCCCCAGCAGCTGTGCAGCCGGTTCGCGTTTCCGCCGCTTGCGAGTGCCAACATTGTTCAACAATACAGTTTAAGCTGACCTTTCCACCTTGCTGTTCCATCGCCTTCCTTCCCAACGAGACAATTGCGTTAACTGAAAACCCAAGTTCGAAGTTCGAAGTGTGTGTGTTGGCGTTTGCACTCTCCTGTGTCCTCTCATGTGTGTGCCCTCATATGTGTGTTCTTATGTGTGGTGTGGCCTGAATGTGTGCTCGCATGTGTGTATTTTTTCACTTTTCTATGCAGCCTTGCTAAGTTGGAATAGAACCACCGTCACTCTCTTTTTCAGGTGTGGTGGCGCTGAGGAAATTCCCGTGAACACACATGAGGCAAGAGCGAGAGAGTGGCCCACCGGAATGTTGCATGCGCACTTTGGAGATAAATAATAAGATTTGGTCCTTGGGCAGTTAAAGGGAAACATTTTAATCGTTTTAATCAGGTCGGTCTCTTCAATCAAGGGACCAAAACATTTCCACCATTTGTAGCTAGGCCAGAAAGGATTGTTTGCAGATGTTTCAGTAGATGGTCAAAAAACAGTTGCACTTACTAGCTCACTCAGAACATCCCAGTCACGTGGACCAAATCATTTGCATGGCAAAGGTTTCCAAGAACTCGATATATAACAGTTTGCTTGCAAAAAACTCTGCTTGTCAAATCCCCGGATCCCCTCGCAAGAATTTGCGGCATGCCGTGGCTGACTGAGCATTTGCAAAAGGTTGACATGTTCAGGGGACTTTGTTTCTCAGACTCGTGTGTGTGTGTGTGCAATAGTACTCAAAAGGCATTCAAGGTGGGAAAGTGGAGGCTGCAAAATGTGTGAGAACCTAGCCGAGATTCAAGAGCGACAGCCTTGGGTAGTTTGATCATGTTGGTGAGAACTCAGAACTGTCAGAACTTGATCTTGAAGTCTCAAACTTACAGGTGCAAGTCAGATCCTGAAGAACTGACGAGATTCCATTGGTTCCAGGCCAAGAGACCTCAGCTGATGAATCAAGCCTGAGGACGGGGTAGACTTCCTGTGGGCCTGTTCGTGCTTTTGGTAGACCCGGGTAGACCCTGCCCCTTGCCCGTTGTCAGATACTGCAGTGTCATTGAAGAGAAAACATTGCCAATTAACGGCCTTATGGTTCATGCTGTTAGATTTGTTGGATCCCTTAAAGATGACTAGTACTATAGACTATAGGCACATGCACGTTTGAGCAAGCTTGTGGGCTTTGCAGTTACAGAATATGCATTGTTTTTTTTGATAGTAGGTTGAGCGCGCAGATTCGCCTAGATTTACTGGCGCTCAGATCATCTATGTATATATAATATAATATATATATATTGATCATTAATCTGGAATTGGCAATGGATGGGAACGTGCTAGTGCACATGACGGAAAAAGAAGAGCCCGCACGTCGAGAGGAAGGCTGACAGCTCGAGAAGGATTCGTTCTCCAGGGTTTCTTTGTTTGACAAAAAGCTTTACTAGTAGCTTCTTGTTCCTAGTAGCAACTTGCTCCTAGTAGTACGGAGAGAGAGAGCCCCTAGTAGCGTCCTTGCTCCTAGTAGCGATGCCAGGAGCCCCTAGTAGCTTCTTGTTTATACAAGATGTTTTGAAACTTTCTTGCAAGACAAAATGGACTGGAGTAGTGGATCGGTCTTTCGCCCGAATCCACAAGATCCAGAAAACGCTCCCACAGCCCAGCAACCCAGAGGTTTTATTGTCTGAACACGGCCCAACATCAAGCAGCAGCAAATGTACCGCTACCAACACTGCTCACCACCCTCCTTGAAGTGAATGAGATACAGTGTTGTGTGTGTTTGTGTTTTCTAGCTTGCACACGTGATTGGATGTAGTGGTCCTTTGACGGGACACGGAGTGGAATACTTGAGTGAGAGTTTTCTTTTTGCTGCCCATACTGCAGGAATAGCAGATGCTATTGCTCACAATTCCGGTGAACAACGGCTGATTAGGCGCATTCCTGCAATGTCCTGCAATCAATGGTCTCAGCGTTTATGTACTTGTTTGTTCCTTTTACCTTGAGGGGTTTGGTGGTTCGCTCATGGCGCTTTGAACGCTGTGAAAATGATTTGACTCCATTTGTGCAGTAGTACGTGCGGTTCTTGTACTAACGCTTTGCGGAACCCTCAACCAAATGCTTCATCCTATAAGGTTGGAATTTCGATTCTTCACCGGGCCCGGGGCACAACTGTCATATATATAAAATATACTTGCGGCGCGAATGGAAAGGCATCAACACACACTCAGGAAATGCAATCGGAACTGATTTATACGGTTTGCCACCCACCAGCCTAAGTAAAAGACCTAAGGAACCAGGATCAAGAAGTAAGTATGTAAAGCGGTCTGAGCATGAAAGCCTTCAACAAACACCTCCAAAACCTTGAGCTCGTTCATCGCAAAAGCTGCAAGAACTGCAGTGAAGGAACACTCCTTTGCACGTAGAAAATGGCCGAAGTCGTTGGGTTACACACACGCCTCCCGGAGGAGGGGAGGCAAAAGAAAATCTAGCGGACCGGCTGATGTGTACGTGTGCGTGCGAGGCGTGAGGGGGACAAAGGAGAAGACATGAAAAGAGGACGAGACAAGACGAGAGTGTGTGGTTGTGATGAAGGGGAAACCAAGTGCACAGGGACAACCGATGAACCAAACCCCATTGTCAAGACCTGGGCGACCTGTATCCTGGCTTGAATGTAGATGTGCACGTCCGCTGCGGTCTGCTTTGGCTATGCCAAACAGGCTTCTTTGGTCCGCTGTGGATGGGGAAGTAGACAAGGGTTGCTTGCCACCCACAATCATGCCGCACTCCTCTGCAAATAGAAAAAGACCGAAAGGCTCCCTTTGAGTCCAAGGGTTACGCACATACTGTATTAGTCGGGCACTTCGGGCACTTTCAGAGGCAAAAGCACTGCATATGTAACTGTGTCTTCAAGCACATCGTACAAAGGACCGGTATTTTCAGAAACCTTCAAAGCCACTGATGTTTGCAACAGTTCTGTGGCCTTGCCTTCAATACTTGTCGTTTTGCATGTTCAGACCACAGGCGGCACTAAACACAATCCACCGCCCTGGAAATTGCAGTGTTTCTGGGAAACGACATGTCTCATGTTCTTATTTGGAACCATGTCGCTCGCTTTGTGATCACCCATGTTCCGTTTGGTTCGAAAGATTGCTTGTGCCTTGAGTTATTTGTTCTGTGTTTGAGTCCGTTTCGGCACCGAATCCACACAGCCGCAAAAAACTGTGGACATGTTCCGAAGATCGGTTCACAGAGGTGCAACGAAGTTGTTTCGACCAAGGAACTGCACCGACGTCGGTTTCGCCTTTTTGTTTCTAACCTCGCCGTCGGCTTCTCGGGTTCTTTGGGCTGGACGGCGCACAACGAATCAGTCCAAAACCCTCAAACACCCGGTTTCCGAATAAATACTCTTCACATCTCTTCACTTTGATGCGGGTTGTTGAAAAATACACTTATTACAGTCACAGTTTGTGCGTTTGTCCAGTGTTTCTGCTATTTTCTGGCTGACCAGCCAATTGGCAGGTGATTCTTGTTCAACACCAACCAGATCTGACACCTTAGTGGACAAAGTAACGCGTTCAGATTGGCCAAGATAAGATCCGGTCCCCAGCTCAAGTCTCATTGTGGTGGTGCCTGTTTTAGATCACAGTTACGCGCTATCAATTGAACGAATGATGACCCACAGTCAGCAAGACATCAAATTAATCTACCTCGACCTCAATTGAACAAAACACTCTTTCGCAAGTTGCAGTCAATCACCCGATTCAGCTCAAGACGGCCAAATCTGCGTGAGCCACGCGCGTGTTTGTGACACACACACACACAATGCGTGTGTGTGTGTGTGTGTGTCAGCCTCAGGAGATTTTCCGTGATTTCTGTTTAGCAGTTGAGGAATCCTACTGGGAGTGACAGATCCAACAAAAGAGGCGTGTCATGTCAGAATACAAATAGGGTAATCAAGAAACAAGAGTATAGATTTCATGATTCTCCGTTTTTTGACATATGAGGTCAAGCTCTAGTTGTCAAATCAGCAAATGATGTCATCAATTGGTTCATCCAGACTGCTGGAAAGAGAGTGACTTGCCAGAGTGACTCCTGGATGCCGATGTCTCACTGCCCTGTGGGCCTTCGTTGTAGTGCAATCGACGAGCATTTTTCCCATCCTGCAAATGTAGGACTGGCGATGCCGTTGCTGCTCAAACAAGTTCGGACAATGGGGGCGGATGGCTTTGTGTGTGTGCAGGATATGGTTCCAAGGACATCGATCACAATAAGACTTCCTCGGAAGATTCATCAGAAGAATTCGGACTAAGAGATCTGAGAAAGTTTCCTAACTACCGAGAACTAAAGTCGGGAGCATTGTGCCTGTGTTGGTCGAATTCATTCAGGTTACTTCTACTTGTAGTGAGAGACAGGGTGTTGACGTCACTGGTGTTCAGCTGTTTGGTAGAGCCAGTGGAGTAACTATTCTCAGCTTCAAGTTCGTTCACCCACAACAAGGTTACTTTAAATGCATTCATTACATTTGCTAGTTGCAAACATTTGCAAACCAATCATTAGGAGTTAGTTGCCAACCGGCTATTCCAAAGCTGGGTTGGCTTTACCAAGGGCGTGCCAACTGTCCAAGTCCACGTCCCAGGTTTGGCAGCATGTCATGGAGGGCAACTTGGCAGAAATTGCTTGGACACTAGACAGTGGACATACATGGCCAAGCGCATAAGAACAAGCATATGTTGGGTGCACGACCTCAAGGCAGTTACGGTTACATGATGTTACATGAGGGAGGAGAGACTAAGAGTTTGCTTGTGTTTGCCACATGTGGCCGCCACTTATGTGGCCAAAGCGACATTCGCATCTACCATGTTTGGCGTGTCCCCACCGTGCAAGCAGCAAACTGAACTCTCCACCAACACCAGCAAACCAGGTTCAGAGCCTCGAATAGAAGGTCCAACAGGTCCATCAGACTCTTGGAAAGGGAAAAAGCATCCATGAAGGGATTCCTTTTTGGGGGCAATGAACCAACAGAAAGGAAAGTAAAGGAAAGGCAACAGGACGTGGCAGGAGGCTCGGTTTAATTAGAGGAGGCGTGCATAGTAGCATGGGCGGACCAAGCCTCATGAGGGATACCCTTTGTATCCCTTTGTGATCTTTGTGATCGTCAAACAGCAGTTGTTTTTTGTAGTCAGTTTTATAAGAACGCAATGGAAGGAAAGAAGCAAAAGGAAGAAACAAAAGGAAAAGGGGAAAAGCAACGGTTCAATAGGATGGGAGGAAAGAAGGCTCGCTCGAAGTTGCCTGTCTAAGGGGTAATATGTTGGTTGTAAAGAGCCTTGCTATTGCCCACTATTGCCCACCAACTCACCAACTTTTGTGCAACAATGGCTCAGTTGGTGTAGTTTAATGAGGGGATGTTTATCAATTACGGTATGAATTGTTGATTTTAATCAGGGGATGTTTGTCAAGTACTGTATGAACTGCCTGATGCTTTAAAGTTCTAGACCCTGTCATTTGCAGGCCTTTCTGTGTAAGTTTGACGAACCAAAGGAAGACTGTGATTCCATGTGGCGCGCGTACTCTCAACCTCTTCAGGTGCAGCGCTGCCGGAGCATCGCGACTGGGAGAATCTCAGGAAGGATCAGTTGCCCTCAGCCTTGTTGCAGCTGCGCTTCAGATGAGCTTGGTTGTTGGTTTCATTCAACTGATCACATCGAAGTCATAAAAACAAAGACAAACAATTCTGATTGAACAGGGTAATTAACGGTGGCAGGTGGAGCCGCTCCTCAAAAAATTGTGAAGCCTTCTAAGCAAAGTTGTATGCAATAATACGCCATAATTATATATAGTTCTATATGTAGGCTGATTAGCATATTTGATTCCGTTTATTCTCACTCGTCCCAGGACCCCTCCAGGTCTCCAGATGGAGATGAGAACCAATGAGACAAGAGAAGAGCAAAAGAAAGTACCCAGTGCCCCTTTGAATTTGCTAAGGCCCCTTCAACGTCTTTGTAGCTTCTGATCTTCTCTTCTGTAATTAATCAAAAGTTTGTCGCGATGCGTGTGCTTTTGCCTCCACTCAACGACTGTCCCCATCGCTTTTCTAGCCCTCCAAGCCTCAAGGTGTATGTTTTGCTTGCAATTGTGCATGGCCGCACGGCCTTGCATTTAACTTCCTGTTTACGTTTGTTTCGATATCGTTCTTCTCTACAACTTTCACAGCGTCAGCTAGTCAGCATCCAGCATCATGTTCTTTTGAGCATCGTTCAAAACCTAGGTGTTCATATTTATAGTAAGGAGATGTTCATAAGGACACTGTGCGTAAGCAAAAACCTGAATTGGGTAAGGTTGCGTAAGCATTTTTTGGTTGTAGCGCTTGAGTAAGCAAAGTGCGTAAGCTTGACTTCTCCATGTATTTGCATGTGTGCTTGCTTCAATTTTCAAGTATTGGGATACTGGGAAGCCAATCAATACCAATCAGATGTGTTGAGACGTGTTTGTTTGAGGAACCTATTGTACATGTTTTTTGTTTGCAGGATTCTTTCATGTGGCACCCCATGTTCGTAGATAGTTTCTTTGTATTTCTTTGTATTTTGTAGATTGTGCACAGCACTTTGTCGTCACAAACTACAGTAGTTTGAAGGTGTGCATGACATGACAAGACATGACAAGACATGACATGACTTGATGTTGGCGCCAAGTAAAAAGATATAAACAGTCAAGTGTGTAAGGTCATGTTGTGGTGTGGGGGAGGAAGTTTGCCTGTATCTGTTTGCTTAAGCTCCGCGTAAGCGCATCATGTCCCCTGCATGGCGCCCAAGCTGAAACGTGAGTCGCGTAAGCACGGCGCAAGTGTGTGCGTAAGCACCTCCTTACTAAACTTCACTTCAAAGACAGGTTGAACACGCTCTTTTGTCGGGCCAGTCACTTAATGAGCTTAACATGGCTTTTCATAGGGACTGCCTGATGTGGCCCAGGTTGAAGACTGGCTTCACGCACTGCTCATCCAAAGTTCTCGAGTTCTTCCCGGCCGACCAGGGCGGAGGGAAGATGCTGCTGGAACTGCAGGCATCGGGTTAAGTTCGTGGCACTATCATTGGTTTGTTGCGCCCTAGGCATCCCTAAGCCCTAGTTTCAAGCATCATTTGCATCAAAAAAGCCAGCTGAGGCAGTCGTACAGACTGCCCGCGTCCTCCATACTGAACATTAATTAACATTACCCACACACGGCCTATGATAGGAAGGTTGCAAAGGTTCATGTCCAGTTGAGGCACACTTGTGCAACAGACAAACAATGGACATGTGGTTCATTCTGACCGGGGTTTTGACCTCAAGCAATGAGTAGTCCCAGCAGGTTGCACCGTCTGCGGCAAACAACGGACGGACATGAGGTCCAGTGGGGCTTCCGGTCAGACACCAGGGTGGCTGCGCAAATCTCTTCGGAGAAGAAGGCTGCCAGAATACTTTTGTCTTTTTTTGCCCGCTTCTGCACCACTTGCCGACAATCTTCGGTGGCAAGAAGGACTGTCTTCATGCCACTTCTTTGTTCCCAATATTTATAGTCTGCACGTCACTCAACCGCCGCAACCGCACATCTTGATGCGAAAAAAATCCACAGACGGCGTGCGTCCGCCTCCGACCTGGGATCCAATCGACCTAGTTGGCAAATGTTGCCAATGGCTAGCCAGCTTAAGGCAAGCAAACTCATAGGCTTACTGTATCTCATTGAAAGTCTCACGTCAAAGACGAAGGGGAAGACCATCGAGCCGGCAGCCTATATGCCTGCAGATAATCCTATCTTGATCTATAAGGGCATTACAGACTAGTAACAAGAAGCTACTAGGGGCTCCTGGCCGTACTACTAGGAGCAAGAACGCTACTAGGAGCAAAGGGCATCGCTCCTAGTAGCAAGAAGCTACTATCTTGATAATCCTACAAATAGCTTCTTGTTACTACTAGTAAGGCACCTGTTACTACTAGCGTGGCACTTGTTTCTACTAGCGAACCTTGTATAATCCTACACCTTGCGGCCGAGCATCGGAAACTTGCAGCCGAGCATCGGTGCAAAGCCCAAAGTCACGAAGACGACGTACAGCTGTTCGTGAGCTGGGGGAAGCAGGAAGCTCTCAAAGCTTTGCTGCTCATGTGCAGGCCCTGGAAAAGCTGTCAATCTGAAAATGTGGCACGAAGGTGGCCTCAAGCATGCTATTGCCACCGTTTTCTTACAGTCTTCAAACAGGTGTTCCACCATCTCTAGACTCGTCAGCGCGTCTTTTCAAACGGGGCCTTTGACGGCTTGGGTTGGTTCAGATTGGGATCATTGTTGAGGGTGCATAAAGAAACCCATTGCTGCCTCGTGACAAAAAGAAGTGGGGCCTCATGAGCTGACAAACGTTGAAAACGCTTAGAATTAGGAATGCCTCAACAGGGTTCGCAAGACGCATTTGGTCGCCTATGAAGGCCGAGCGTATCGTCGTGGTTTGACCAGTTACCGACCAAGGCTTCCACCAGGATTTCAAGACAACGTCAAAGGTCAAAGGTTGCTTCAAGGTACAGCTGCTTTGGACTCCAAAGCCGAGTGTTTGAGGGCTGTCACAAAGCCTCCCATTCTAACCTCTTCCATGTTCCTCCCACTTTAGCTCATCTTCCACCCCCTAACTGCCATGCCATGTGTTCTCCTCTCTTTTTCCTCGCTTCCGCCCTTGGCCATTCTCAAGTGAGAGATTTGACAGGATGGGCAACGTATTGAGCTCCGTGGCAGCATCTCAATTGCAACACCCATGAATCCTTGCAAGCCGGCCAAAAGGGGTTGCCATCATAATGTGTGTATAAATATATATATATATATATCTTCATGGCTTTTTGGAATATTAGTCTGGGTTGGTTTGTCTCATAAGAAAATGAAAGAAATGCTACTGCTGTGCGATTCGAAGCAGATGAAGTCTATTGATTTGGTGGTTCCCATACTAAACAGACAGGTGAAGCAAAATGACTGCCTTTTGACAGTTCGCAAGTGCTTTTTGGTAGGGCAAAAGGTGTATGACCTAGTTTTCATCAAGGAGAGTCCGCTGGACGATCTTGCACTTGCTTCCAGGACAGTGCTTATTGAGCACGCTGGACCGAAGCCCAGATCCACAGTGGCTCGAATTTCAGGGGGCACTGACATCAGACATCCAGCTCTTGTTTCAGCAACACGTGTCTCTCCAGTTGCCATGCAGACCATGAAAGCCTGCGTGCAGAGAACAAAGTGAAAGACAAACGAGAACATTCCAAACTTAAAGCAGAGAAGCAATAATAAATAGATATATATAGATATAAATAGGTTCGGAACGGAGCGGGATATGTATATGTATAGTATACAGTATATTGCTCAAGAAATGTTCACTCGAGCAACCAAGGTTTGTGTTTCCAGTCAAATTGGCTGCAAGATGGGATGCAGCTTTTGTGCTACAGGAGCGTCCGTGGATCCGAAAATGTTGAATGCTATGTTTAAATAGCGAGTGCACATCCATTGGATGGGCTGATAGCTGGTCGATCCATTGAACAACTTTGCCAAATACTATAATCATAATCAATCTACTACGTTTCAGTCTTGAGTTGCTCGGATGTTCTAAGTGTTGTCCTCGTTGACCAACGGTGATCCAGGCACCATGGGCCTACGCGGTCAACTCAGTGCCGGGGAGATTCTGGAACAGCTGTTCCATGCAAAGCGCTTTGCTCGATCCTCGGCTGCAGGCGGAGTTTGAAGACGGGGCCCTGCTAGCCACGCTTTTGGGCAAGGTCAACAGAATCAAGAGCGTACAGTAAACAGATGGACAACATAATATTGGAAGCGGCGCAAGATCTCCCTGTCAATGTTGGCTTAAGAACGTGGCCGTGACAAAATGGTAGTTCGGTTTGGCCGGGCTGCGCAATAGTTCTCTTCTCAGGGATTTTAGTCGAGTGTCCATCTCAGGAGCTACCCCATGCACCTATCCCATCAAATTCCAGTACACTTCGAAAGTTACAGTACTTCATTCCAAGATCCTATCAGTTTCAATGGTGGCTTGGGCTTCTGGCCACAAAACGGAATGATTTCCCTCAAATTTGTCACTTCATCAAGCATACCGTTTGTAGTCCAGGGTAGCCAGAGAGAAAAAGAAAGAATACCGACCTGCATACATGTCAGGAAAATACAACTAGCTTTTGAGGTGTCAATACCATTTGGTGTTACCACCAGAGTCCAGCTGAGGCAGCGAAGCACCTGTGCGAAATGTCGGAAGCTTTGACAGGAGCTGAAGATCTCAAATTATATTCCAGTATGTATGTCGCAGTTGAGAAATGTCGAGTTCATTGTTCATAGTCGTTTACTAGTTCGATATGACAATGTATGACAGTTTAAGTTTCCCTGAACATCGTGCGAGCGCTTCTTCAAGTTGAAGAAGCGTGAGCTATCCTGCATCCTACCTAGAAGGTAACTTAGCCTGGTAGCTTACCTCCTTACTTAATTAAGTAGGCGCCTACTTAACTAGGAGCATGCTTTAAACATGGTGTTGCTTTGTCACAGTCCAAGGGCCGGCAAAGAGGGGAACACGAATCTGTGTTCAATGATCAGGAAGCTGTTAAATGGTTGTTTCCTTTGGACAAAGGAGGGTTGACCAGTTGTAGGTTCTGGGTTGGTCTGAGGTGGTCTTCATGGGTATGGGTGAGCCTTTGGACAACTACGAGAACGTGATTGCAGCTGTGAAGGCCTTGCTTTGAGTTGCAGATTGACATGTTCTGTTTGTTTGGAAAGCAGATCGCCCGAGCTGCCCATTGCCTAAGGAAAGTAACTAGCAAACATGTGTACTTTTCCTTTCCTTCCACCTTCCGTCCTTCCATATCCTCATATATTCCTATGACTGATGGTGGACCGTTTATGCTGTCATTGCATGTGTTTTGGCATTTCACATGCTGTTGGTGTTTGAGTTGCTTGCATCAGAATCAGCAAGTCTAAATGACTGTTTTAAGTGTTTTTTTTTAACAAATACACTTCAATTCCTTTCAGATCTAGCATTGGGCTCACAGCCCTGACGGTGGCGCCTCATCCACGTCATGCTTTTGTTGTGAAAGATACACAAGCTGCGCACGGCTGCGCGCACGGCTGCGCTTTGGGTTCCGCTAGTAACAGTGTGCTTGGGAACATTTTGGCGGAAGGGATTCGACGATGTAGAAGCCAAAAAGACAAGGGTGCCATGGATTTGTTTGAAAGTGCATCGAATCATCAGCACAATAATTTTGATGACAGCGGGCGCGTGGTGCTTCTTCTGTGCGACTTGACCCATCGAAAATGCCAGTTGTAAGCCGCCAGCTGCCTTTAGGTTTGAGTCAATATTAAATTTGGCTCTTCAGGTGATGCCTGAGCATGCCTTCGGATTGGCTTTGAAGCGCCTTGACATTGGATATTGAAGAGCATATTTTATGACTATGACTATGAGGATCAATGTTTGACCATGTTGCAGTGCCCTTTCTCATTTTAATAAAGTTCCTGCATGGCAGGAATGTGACCATCTCTACCGTGGGCGTCATGGGCCGCATCCGAGCTTTGGGAAGCGAATTTCCCTTTGCAGGGCCCAATTTGGCACTTTCATTGCACGCCCCCACGCAGGAACGAGCAAGATCCGTGACATTGTAAACATCTTAAGACATTTAAAACCAGATCGAGCACACACACTCGGAGCTCAGAGTTGGTTCGTTGTGCTTCGGGTGTGGCTTGTTTGGATTGGTGGTTTTGGCTGTCACCAGGAGCTCCGCAGACCTTTGGTGCCTTCTGCAAAGGGACTTCCATTGACGGAGCTCATGCGTGAAGTGGACGATTACGGAGAGCTCACAGGGAGCAAGGTACGGATTTTGTTCTGTTATGTGTTTTCCCTGCTGCCAGGTGAGGGTTGTTAGATTTTATCAGAGCTCTTTTCCTCCTCCACCTCCGCATCCTCCTCGTCCTCCTCCTCGCCACCTCAACTGCCAACTCCTGATCATAGTGGGCACTACCGGACCTCAACAGCAAGTGCCAGATCGCACTGGGCATCAACACACAACATAATCACAAACACAACTACAAACGCAACCACAAACACGCGTCACAAACACACAGCCACAAACACAATCACAAACACAAGCCGCAAACACAATCACAAACGCACAATCACAAACACACAGCCACAAACACAGCCGCGAACACAACCACAAACACAACCACAAACACACAGCCACAACCACAAACACACAACCACAATCACAAGCACGGCACACAACCAACCACAGCACACAACCACAACACTCAAACATAATCACAAAGACACAGCCACAAACACATAACTACTTCAACATATATAGTTATTTGATCCCTACCCCCCGGGCCTCAAAAAAACAAGTTACATTTTTTGGTGGGCCTGTAGGGGGTCTAAAAGTGTAACTTACCCCCCCAGGCACCATCGAAACGGGTAAAGGTTGGGGGGGGCCCAAAAAATGCAACTTGTGGCCTGGCACATGCTTACTTACATTTGACCACCCCCTAGGGTGCGCGGCAGATCGAACTTGCAACCTGCCATCCTGAACACCTAGGGTGCGTCGGCAGAACGACGGGCTGGGTGGGGCATGAAGGAGAACAGCAACACGCACAAAGCAAGACCCAAAAGGAAGGATGCCACAACAAAACCCACACGTAGCAGAGCATAATCACATATATTCACTGCTATGTTGTTGCCCTGGCTGCTTGTCCCTTGCTAGAAAGCAAAAGATGAGGGAACAGCAGTTGGTCTGAGTCATCATCGACAAAGAAGAACAGGAAGCACACCCAGGGCAAACTGCCAAGAAACAGGAACATACATGTTCCCACTCAAGACCCCAAAAGGAAGGCAACAATGCGAAACCCAAACATAACAGAGGATCATCTACATGCTTCACAACAAAGGAGCGGGTCATTCTAAGCTCGCACAGCTGCCTGTTCTATGGCGCAGGAGAACAAGGATATTCAATGCTGTTTGATCCCCTGGTTGCTTGCCCCCTGCTTGCGCTTCGTGGAGTCGCTTGCGTGTGATTTTCAGTATGTTAAATTGCATTCTTTTAACTCAGGGGGACACCCGGGTTCCTTGTAAATTCTGGTGTTCTCACAGAACCCAGGTAATCCCTGCAAAATCTGAGGGCTTGGATGCGGGCGAGGGAGTCGCTTCGGAACGCAGAAAAAAGTTCGCTTCGGAACGCGGGAACGGTATCGCTTCGGAACGCGTGTCAGAGCTAGTAAGTTGGAGGCCATCGCTACGACTAGTCTGCACTGTCTGGTTGCTAACTGCAACCCACCCCACCCCCCCCCCCCCACCCCACCCCATCCTTCATCCTTAAACCCTCCCCATCTGTGTCTGTGTGTGTGTTCTAAAGTTGAACCAAAAAATCAGGTGCGCTGTGTTCCAAAGTGATCTGGTTTTTTGCTAACCCTTCCATGTTTTTGTGTGTTTTGTTTTCCAAAGTGACCCATGTTTTGTATTCCAAAGCGAACTAAAACCCTTTGTTCCAAAGTGAACTAAAAACTTGTGTTCTGAAGTGACCCCGCTTCCTGGATGCGTGGACTAATTGTAAGTTACTCGTAGAATTTTTGAGGTGTGCAAATCTCACGTTTTGCTTGCATCCTGAGACAGCAAGACAAAATCAGACAAACACAGACTCAGGGGGGCTCAAAACATGTAAGCGCCCCACCGTGCCTCACAAAAGTGACTTACATTTTTGAGATCATTTCCCAGGAAATCACCCATGAGGCTTCAAAATTGTAAGTTTTTTTTGAGGCCACCTCAAAGTTATATAATGTAATTACATTTTTTGAGGCCCTCCGCATAGGAAATGTAACTTACAATTTGCGACGTCCCCCTCAGGAAAGGGTAGTGATATTACCGGTGTGTGGGGTGTTTTGTGTGGCAGGTCGTCACAGGGTAGCACTTGTGCGTGCCAACTGAAGGCGACCTCCCTAACACTAAAATAGTTATCCCAAACCCGAGGACCCACAAACCAGATCGAAAACCACAAAACTCACGTCCACGGCAACGTGCTCCTCACCATGGCATGAAAACAAATGATTGACATGTCATGGTGAGAATCACTCGAAGTAAAGTATGTTGTGTTAGACTGGGGGGTAGGCCGCTAGTAGAGGTAGGAAGTAGCTAGGGGTAGGTAGCTAGTAGCTAGGTAGCTACTACCTACAAAGCAGAAACTAACTACTGGGCGCAAGATAGCTCACGTTTCTTGCAGGAAACTCCACCGCCGCCCTAATGGTGGGGGGAGCTTGCTTGAAGAAGCGCTTGCGCCTCCTAGATTTTTTTGGGAGTCGTTGAGCACGTCTCGCAGCATTGGGGCTATTTCTTGAGAGCTAGAAGGAGCTTCATAGCTTGACCGCGCCCAATTTAAACACTTTACACCAAGTCGCACGGTTTCGGTAGAGGTCATGATGGAGTACATCCTCATTGCAGATGTGAACTCCTCTGAGTCCTGTGCGCACCAACTGGGTGAGTTGTTGGCCAATTGCCGAGCACTGGTCATGCTCAATGTGATTCCCTACAATCCCACAGCCGCTTAGCATCTACGGGCATTTCATGGTGCTGCCGAGCGCAGTTTCTCAAGCTGTTCCACTAATTGTACTGTCTGTATTTGGGTCACAGATGGTCACAAATTGTGATGTTTTTGGTCACCTTGGGTGGTAGGTTTGCTTATGGTTGAGAGATGTTGGAAGCAACCGTGAATTATGCAATCTGATGTGAGCAACCACTTTTATTTAGGCTTTACTAAGGTAGTCTACAGCATGCTCTATCTGTTTGTTTGTCTATCGCCAGTATTCGCTTGTAAACGAGATAGGCCCCCCACATAAACGAGATACTGTTGTTTGATGACACTGAAGTAGTCTGAACGAGGTAGTGCGATCTGCTATTAAAGTAGTCTGAACGAGGTACAGTGACATGACCATGACCTCCTACTTAAGTAGTCTAAACATGTCTAAACGAAATAAATGCTGCTGTACATGTGTTGCCTGCTTCCTTCGTAATTGTCCCTTCAATTCTATTCCACGCTTTGAAAAAACATATTCCATAGATACACGGAGATTTGAGATGACAAAAAGAAGGCCCTGGAGCTTTCTTGATGTGGCCAAGTGCCAAGGTGAGTGGAGAGGTGAATGGTTACCGGCCTCCAACAGATGCTTCTTGGTCCATAGACAGAGCATTGCATCATCCTGGTGATTTCTGATTGGACGGTCCAGCCACCAGTTCCTACGGAAAACTTGGGAAACTGGACTCCACAAGAAAGGCTGAGTGCCGCAAGTTCAAGTTCATCGTTGCAGAGTATAGACGCCGCTGGGATGCGCCGGGCAACGCAGGCGCAATTCTTAGTCTTTTGACTTGCGGCATCTTATGTCCGTGACCCGTTGCGAGAGATTTGACTTGC